CAGACGCAAAACATTTCAGAAACCGTATGTATCAAATATGATACATTTGGCATTATAGGGGTTATACACAAAGTGCAAACTTGTAAATCGAACAATTTAAACTTGAGATGTGAACAAAACTGTCTCATGAGTGCAAACTTTTTTTGTGAAAAGTGAAAAAGTGAAGCTTCACTCGAGCAAGCAGACGTGACACGGTAGACATGCATGAGCTGCATTATCTTCACGGCAAAACCTATATTTGCAGCGTTGTCTGTAACAGCTAGAGGGTGTTTGCTGTTCAGCCCCCATTTGTTAATGTCATCAGTCAACCTATTGGCTATATTTGCAGCTATCTGGCTCGAAGTCATCTTGAGTGCATCTTTCCTGCTCATTTAAATGTGAACGTCACACGCGTCACTATAAAACTAATCGATCTCATTCCCTAGACATCGATTTTGCAAAAATGTAAAGGAATCGATTAAATTGATTTTTTTATCCAGCCCTAATGTCCATTGTAGGGTTTTTCTGCATTTATTTCTTGTAATTATCATAAAAAATCTTTGTCTAAATTAAAAGAATGGATGAGGCTGCTTTAGTTTCTGTACCCAGACAGAGTTTGTCTTTCTTTAAGTGAAACATTTCTGTCCTTCCTTAATTGTAAAAATAAAGTGTCCTGCTTGGCTGATACCAGCTGACATCTCTCAGCACCTTAAGAATCTGGGCTTCAGGCTATATAAGTGATAGAGGAAGTATCATATTTCCAAGAAAGAGTGTCATACTATAAATAGAAACAATTTAACAACTTCCTCAATCAGGATTTAGGCAGGGCAGAAAGGTAGCAGTGTGTGTGTGTCTGTGTGGTGGTGATGACTGGGGAATTGGTCTAAGGTTTACTCACCTGTGCCCTTTTTCTCCTCAGTCTTGGACACCTTAGCATCTTTGCTTTGTTTCTTCTCTTTTCTCTTGTTTTCCTTTTCATCCTCTCCATCACTGTCCTTTTCTTTGGGAGCGGCTGAAAGAGCGGCATAAATGGAATGTACCGTTTACCTCAAACATAATTCCTTATATCAACAGTCTTTAAGTTCGTTTCAAGGCGAGTCTGACACCTAGTGGTCAAATTGCATATTGGAGGCTGAACCAATATTCTCCTACAAATTACTGCATAGCATAAAGAAATATTGAGAAGTTGTAGAATATATTTCTTTAAATAAGTGTTTTTTTATGTTTATGCATTTAAGTGGACGCTTTTATCCAAAGCAAATTACAAAGCCTATAGTCACATACTGAACCAGAAATTTCAAGAAGCTAAAAAACATTTGAAAGAAGCGCTAAAAGTAAATCTTAAGAAAAATGTATGATTCTGCTCAGAGCCATCTCTCCTACCGTGGGAGTGGCTGTGGGAATGTCCATGCCCGTGTCCTCCTTTCAGCAGGCGCACAAATTTTTCCACAACCAGGAAGGCGATGATCCCCCCAAGAACCCACAGACCAACAGACATCATGTGTCCGTGGGCAGCTCCTGTGCACAAACATGTTCCAGATCACAAGAGGAAAACAGCAGGTAATCATCCAAAAGAGGAGTAAAAAATATGCTGGGAATACCGTGAGAGTGACCGTGGTCATGTGACTCCTCACTTCCATGAGAGTGTTTATCATCTCCATCTTCATGATGGGAATGAGGCTCTAATTAATGCACAATAACATGAGAAAAGGTT